AACATTTGAGTAAAGATCTGAGATGTGGGGACAAGACTGTACAAGCTTTATAAGGAAATGGTTATCCAGGAAGATCCAGGGAACAAGTGCACAGCTCCTGAGGCAGAAGTGCGCCTGGTGTGCTCAAGGAACAGCCACAGACCAATAGGTATATTGGGGGCAAAAGGGTGCTGCAGATCTAGGGCTTTAAAGGCAATTGTAAAGTCTGTGGTTTTTATTCTGAGAGAAAAAGGAAGCCATCTCCTCTTCTGACTTCTTTCCATCAAAAAATATCAGGCACCCTATTTTTACATATGCAAATTTTTAAATTTTGTTTTAAATTGTGGAGATCTACAGTATAGATCATAAAGCAGACACAAAGAAAGCTGGAACTACAACTCTGAAATTTGACTTTCGTTGAGAATTCATCAGACCTTCAAGAAAGGTCCTCAGGCTCTAGCTGTTTGGCTCAGTGGTTGGAGCCTCCGCCCTAAGACTGAAGGGACACAGGTTGGATTTGGGCCGGGACACTCTCTCACATTGATGTTTCTTTATCTCTCTCCCTCTTTCTCTCTCTCTCTCTCTCTCTGCCCCTTCCATTCTCTCTGAAAAGCAATGGAAAAATATCCTCAGGATTTTTTAAAAAGAAAAGAAAAAAAGAAAGGTCCTTAGTTCTCTCAAGCCTGTAGAGAACATCAACAGGGGAAGAAAAACACAAGAATGAACTGAATTAACCTAATCTAACCTACCACTCTCTGCCACTAAATTTTTGTCTCTATGCTCCAGGCTCCACAAAGGGGGAAAAAGGAAATATTGGAAAAAGAAAACTAAGGAAGAAAAAAAAAAAGCATTAGAAAAAAAAGCCACAAAACTAATTTAAGTGCCAATATTACTATTCAAAAATACAATAAAATGTTAGGAATTTGTGACATTTTAAAAGTGGAACCTCCAGTCTCCATGTTGCCCACCAACATCAAGCAGGGCTCAGATTTCTCAATTTTAGTTAAGTCTATTGGAAAATATGTATACAAGAACATCCATCCAACTGGGATCTGAATTTAAATTTTCCCACACCTTTCTTTGGTTTAATGAATCTCTGGGGCTGTTATTCAGTCATTTCTCATCATTATACAAGAACAGTTCACTGTGAGTAAATATTCTGTGGAACTACTAGGCTAACGGTCACAAATGTTGAAAATTTTTGGCTCTACATAAAACCGAAATCGGTAATAGCCTTCAGAGGCTCGAGTGAGTTGTGAGCTTATTGTAGGCCCAACTTTTAAGCTCTAGAAATATCTCCCTGTATGTTCCAACTCAAATCCCCGTCTCCACATAAACTTGAACACCAGCATGACTTCAAACACTCCAACACCTTTCCCTCCCATTTTTCCAATGCTCAAAGGAAAAGGGAAACCCAAGAAACACATGGAGCTAGTCACCCCCAAGGATTACAAGGGCGCAACAGTTTTCAGGTCCCACTGCACAGGCCACAGGTGGCGCCCCCCTCCCCTGCTTCTCGCCTGCGCTTTCCCCAAACACTTGCGACATCTCTAGCCTCGGGGCCGTCCTTCACCAGAGGCTCGGGACATCATCCACCACCCCCGGCCCGGGCAGCTCCGGCGCGTGGAACCCAGGCCGGGGGCCTCC